AATAATATTAATAATAATAATAATAATTATAATAATAATAATAATATAAAATTAATTAACTGATGACTGATTGACTCATTGATTAGAATCCCAAACCAATATACAAATTACCAGTGAAATCTGGACCACAAAAAAACATTGACTGATTGCCCTGATTGCAAATGTTTTTTTTTTTTTTTTGAGATCCAGATTTCACTGGCGATTTGTATGTTGGTTTGGAATACTCTGATATACATGATCTAAATGTTAAGACTCACGCCGTTGGGGAAAGAGTCTCTTGTGAAGATAGGCCAGGTCCTCCAGTTGGTGTCATGACGGAAGGTCTGATGGACGTGCTCTCCGAGGCCATAAATATTGTGAGAGGGGAGTTTAGCTGAGAGCTGAAGGTACTGATCAGCAAAAACCAGTGGCCCAATGGTGGTGTCAAACCTGACGCACCAAGACAAGAAGATCTTAATGTCCCTATATATATTTCAGCTGACAGGTATTATTTTATGTTAAAGAAAATGTTCACACTTTAAAGTAATGGTCCATTAGTTAATGTATTTACTAACATGAACTAATAATGAACAAAGCTTACACAGCATTAATTACTCATAGTTCAACATTCACTTATCTTATTACTTGTTATTCAATGCCAAAGTTGTGCTTGTTAACAATGGTTAATGCACTGTGAGTTATCTTGAATTAACCATGAACAACTTTATTTCCATTATCTAACGCTAACAAAGTTAAATAAATACTGTATTGTTCATTGTTTGTTCATGTAAGTAACTCCATTAACTTAAACTAACAATAACTAATGGATCATTATTTTGATTACTCTCCAGAGCAAAACTGATAGCCACAAATAGTTTGCTTGACTCAAGCACCTCTTTATCAGAAGCTCTGCTTTGAGTTTTAAAAATAACATCACAGCAGATAAGATTAGAATATTGGACACGTAAAGTCTTTATGAAATATCAATACTTGCTGAAACCTCAATGTGAGCCATGCGTTCCTATGATTAACACAATTCTTATAAGTGTTTTAAGTCATAAATGTCAGGAGATAAAAGATGAGTGTGGTTTTGCAACACAGACAATGTGGCAATAGTCATGTAAAGGGAAATACTGGTGTTTACGCAATTCTTTTAATATACTGTGCAGAAGCACTTTTCAAACTAATTCAATTTAATTTGTAGAGCACTTATCACAATAATTATTCATTCACTTTCTTTTCAGCTCAGTCCCTTTGTTAATCTTGAGTCGCCACAGCGGAATGAACCGCCAACTTATCCAGCGCATGTTTTACACAGCGGATGCCCTTCCAGCTGCAACCCATCTCTAGGAAACATCCATAAGCACTCATTCACACTCATACACTACAGACAATTTAGCCTACCCAATTCACCTGTACCGCATGTCTTTGGACTGTGGGGGAAACCGAAGCACATGGAGAAAACCCACGTGAACGCGGGGAGAACATGTAAATTCCAGACAGAAACACCAACTGACCAGCCGAGGCTCAATCTAGCGACCTTCTTGCCGTGAGGCGACAGCAACACTTCAATACAGTTGAAGTCAGAGTTATTAGCCCCCCTGAATTATTAGCCCCCTATTTTTTTTCCTCAATTTCTGTTTAATGGAGAGATTTTTTCAACACATTTCTAAACATAATAGTTTTAATAACTCATCTCTAATAACTGATTTGTTTTATCTTTGCCCTGATGACAGTAAATAATATTTGACTAGATATTTTTAAGTCTTCTATACAGCTTAAAGTGACATTTAAAGGCTTAAGTAGGTCAACTAGGTTAACTAGGCAGGTTAGGGTATGTATTTAGGCAAGTTATTGTATAATGGTTTGTTCTGAAGACTATTGAAAAAATATATAGCTTAAAAGTTATCGGTGGTTCATGCGGTGTGAAACACTCTGTTGCGATCCATCATACAGTCTAAACAAAGCAGCGACGAAATGCTAGCCCAGATAGTCATGCAGTGTGAAAACATAAATGACACGACTACTTTGAACATCACGCAGTCTGAATTCAAGACATTAATGTCTTTTTTTTAATAATTCCAAGTTTAAATGTCAGAGCATTCGAAAGGAATAGGGCATAGGGGGGATAACTGGCAATGGAAACTACAGCCATAGACAACCCAGGCTCATTCTGAAAACGTAGTCACGTGAACGTTTCTGGAGGCGGCGAATTCTGTAGCTGGAGGTACCTATGGCTGCATTTCATTTTTTAAGCGAATGTTACGGGGCGGTATGACGCCGTTTCTTTTCGCGCTTACCGACTAACCGCTTACCTCCGTATGGAGGGCTTTCCCGCCGCAACCAGTTTGTCCAGTTAGCTCGGCGAACTTGAGACGCAGAGAGGAGCTGACCAAGACGAAAACATCCGGGTTTGAGTCCGGGGAAGAGCGGTTTCAAAAATCAGGTAAGACAAAAACAGAATCCAAAAAAATAAAGCGAACAAGTTCATAACAGGGTGAAAATGAGGCAAATCTAAAAACGTGGGAAAATTAGACGAGGGGTTTTCTTTTTCTGGACTGTTGTGTAAATTGTTGGTTGGGTTTAAGTTGGTGGGTGGGTCAATTGTTAAAATTGGTTGGGTTTAAGGAAAGAGGAGGGTGGGTCAGCCGATTGGCTGGTCGCCAAGTCAATTATTTAGTCAGTCAGACAGACGGTCGTTTGACAGCGGCATCTGGTGGGTTTACGCGAGAACAGCACTTGCAAGACACATTTGAAACCCAGGCTCATTCTGTAAATGTAATCTCGTGGACGTTACTGGAGACCCGAAAGGTACGTATTTTTGCAGTTTTTGTTTTCGCGAATCCACGAGAGGCCGCTGTGTGCGCTTTTTCTTATCTTAAATGTCTTACCTGATTTATGGAACCGCTCTTCCCCGGACTCAAACCCAGTCAGCTCCTCTTTGTGTCTCAAGTCCGCCGAGCTAACAGAACAAACTAGTTGCGGCGGGAAAGCCCTCGACACGGAGGTAAGCAGTCAGCTAGTAAGCGCGAAAAGGATCGGTGTCACACCGCCTCGTAGCATTCGCTTAAAAAATGAAATGCAGCCATACGTGCCTCCAGCTACATAATTTGCAGTCTGTTTGTTGGAGCGATGTATTTGGAAAATCATGGAACTATGATTGTAACAACGAAACGTGCAATCTTAGTTGGCTAATGCTGGTTTTGGGACACGCACACCTGAAAAGTGGCTTACTTTGTATCCAAAGAACATAAGATATCCAAAATAAAATATATTGTGTTCAATAGGGAAACAAAGTTGTTGCTTTTTACCCAGACATTTAAAACGAACATATTTTAGAGGAGTAATCACAATACTGTAAAATACAGTGAAAGCATGATGTTTTACCCAAGGTCATCATACCATCTGAATCTTATACAGGCTGCCTAGATCAAATACAATGTGTAAGAACTAAGACTTATAACTAACCTTATACCTGCCTGTCTATTTTCTAAGTACACAAAAAACCTGGGCACAAAGGCAGACAACAACTAAAGGAAACAAACCAATTTCCATCCACAGCATGTAGACGTCGAGACTTTACAAAAAAAACCTTGTTTGCATTGCTTCAGGCTCTCTTTCTCTCTCTCCGGATTCTTTCATGCCTTTAATTTTAGTCTTCTCGCTGTTGTTGTGATTTTTCATTTAGTCAAAGAAACCCTCTGAAATGATTCCGTGCTGCATTGTTAGCAATACGCAAAGAGTCAACATATGATCTGCATTTGAAAAGGAAATGAGAGAGACGAAAAACTCGGCACTCACAGGAGTTTTTCTGGTGTTGTTCTCCAGATTTTCACTCCAAAGGGCTTCTGGACGATCTCTACTTTGTATTTTAAGGGTCCGGTGGGAGGGTTGGCAGGGGCTTTCACGTTTTCATGAGGAACTTCAAACCTGGCTTGCTTTGCATCAGTGATCTGGTAAACCAAAAATACATCGCACACCATTATATACATGTTTACCCATTACATACATGACATCGTGGCTATTGGGTCAGTTCGTAAACAGACCTTAAATCGAAAGCGGTTTTCTGTCTGCATTTCACCGTGGAAGGTCAAATCCTTAATATCAGCTCCAAACAGAGAAGGAGCATTCATTCTTGTCAGCTTGGCCTCGATATCTAAACAAAAACAAGCATTTTTTCACAACATTTTAGTGAATTGTCAGCTTTACTGTACTTCCCATAGAGTACTGTACATTTATTAAAAGTTTAAAGTGAAAAAGCTACAGCTTGGAAACACTTTAGTCACAGTTCATTTAATCAACTACTGGCTTATTACCTGCCCATTATTAAAGGGCACCTACGATGAAATTCATCTTTTGTAAGCTGTTTGGACAGAACTGTGTGTAGGTATAGTATGTCCACAGTCCAACTAGGGGGATATAAAGACAATAAGGGTGCTTTCACACCTGTGAATCGATTCAGTTGTTCCGAAACAGGGATTCATAACAGTTTGACTAATTTTGCAGCTGTTGGACAACATAATGTACTTTTAAGGCTTTTTGGGTGAGAATGTAGTTTATTTATAATGACAGTGTATGTTTTAAAATATTTATCATTTCAGAGATGACATCAGCTTGTCATATTGAGCAGAGCAAAGATATTGACGGTTGAAAATCTGACACAAGATGGGAACAGACCGAATAATAAGTCGTTAGAGGAGAAAAACTCAGCGTTTTCTTGGAGTAATTTCAAACTTCACCTGATCAAATCATTTTAAAACAGGAAAGTGACGCTCTAAGTAGGGTTGGGCTGATAGATGATGCCATGGCCTATTGCTGATAGCCGACAAACTTCACGATGCTGAGGCGGCATTGCGGTCCATCTCCCCGCCCCACATTTATATTGATATATTACTTATTATTTGCATGTCATCTCAATAGCAATAACGGTCTTTTCATGAGCAGTGGTAAATGTTACTGATGGCTGACAGCATCGTGAGGATTAAACGAAGGATTATACAGCACCTCTCACGCCTAAAATGTGTAGATTCAGTGGCAAACGCTGTTAACTGCAAACCCCGTCCCACAGACTTTACAGTGAACGGCTTTTGTCATTTTCATAGCTGACTTGAAGCCCCTGTAAGTCTTTTATCCACTCTTGGACAAGTGTAAATGGTGGATTAACATTCAGCACATGATCCCTATTAAGATGTGCCATTATTAGTAACTGTAGGTGTTTTCTAAAACCAAATCTGTCAGTGTTGTTTTCATTCTCTCATCTTCAGCGCTTTACATTTTCGTGGTTGTAGCTCCTGTCATCTGAAGGTAGAAGGCATTGACTGAGTGATTGACAGCTCATATTAACCAATCATTCGCTCTCAGTTAGAGCAGTGGGCCAAAAAGAAGACCACAACGGCAGTGCAAGCACTGCACTGTTTTAATCTGTTTCTGAGTGCTGCATTTGGCATTTTTAGGTGCCGTGCATAGATGTATTCTGCATACATGTCTTCTAAATCCACGCACGCGGATTTTTCAGTGAAAACAGTGAAAATGAATGTACTCCCCCAAATGCTTCCAAATATATGTTTAAGATGTATAGATAAAATCTCCGGCGCATATGCGACCAAAACGATCAAGCCCTAGAATCTTTACTTATTATTAGTTCCTCATTATAATAATAAAATAAAGAAGTTATCATCAATCACAATACAGATTACAGTGAACTCCAAACGAACTCTCGTCTCTTCCACCAGATGCGGGAAAATGACATTAGATCGACACAGATCACTCTGCCTATATTCATGCCAGATATCGTTCAGCCTTATAATCTTAAAATGTGAGCAAAATCACCTGTTTTGTCATCACTATAGACATTACGCTAGAGAATCATTCAAATACTAGCTCTGAAGTGACATTGGTAAAGTAGCAACGGTTTCTACTGTCCTAATGTCAGCTGCAGATATGAATGAATGACGGAAGAAAGTAGTTCCTCATAGAAAAAGGATTTGAGACTCTCTGTGTTTGATTTACTTTTTTATACACACTATTAGACAGTTAAACTGTTTTATAAACACAATATTACACTCATAGCAGTGCAATATGGCTGTATATTGACACTGCTGGTGTACTAAGCCAACCCACACCTCTCAGCAGTGCCAATACACATCCATATCACCCTGCTACTCATGTAATGATATTGCTCATATATACTATACTGTATGTGAGAAACCATAAAACCATTTTATCTCCAAACTATCCTCAGTCAAGATCATTTATGTCCGCAACACAAACATTTACATAAGATTTCATAAAGAGCTTATAAGGGTTATTTCATCCATAACATTTATCATGAGCATAAGTAATAGTACTGCTGCTTCAGCAAGCCATGTTTATGCAAATGAATGTACTTTTGTTTACTACCAAAAGCTCTGGAATGTGTTTCACACCACATGTAAAAGTGACAGAAATAGTGAAGAAGAGAGAGTGTTAGCTGATTTAACCTTGCTGATTAGTGAAATCTGATATGCCAACATTAAAATAATCTCACAATAACTGGCTCATGACAAGAGAGACTTATCTGAAGCCCAGTGATATAAACTGCATCATACTATTTTATTACAGCAAGTCTCATTGCAGTACTCACGTGTGCTGTCAGGATTGCTTACGCGGTCCGCGGTGTAGCCGTGATTTTTGGAAAAGAAGCACCAGGGGACGTTGGTCTCATCCAGGGGGCTCCAGCAACAGGCTCTTTCCAAACATTTTTGCTGTAAGGAGACACAAGGAATGTTCAGAAAAGCATGTTGGGTGTCTGTGTGTAGTGTAGGAGATGTTCAGCGCTGTGTACCTGAGATGCACCGCCGTCGGGAAAACAGTCCACTCTGTCTGTTAGAGGAATGTCAGGACATTCTGGGACGATGTCTGGATCGGATCCTGAATCTAAAAAACATTTACATTATATTAACATTTAGTTTGGGGACAGTTAGCAGATGGACATTTTGATAAAGACTTATAAGATTCATAAGTAATTCCAAACAACAACAAACAAAGTTTTACTCTGGACAAGGCTACTTTTATTTGTTTCAAGAGTTTACACTTAGCTGATGATTGATTATAAAGTGTGTTTGACATGCTGTCCCGTGTGAGAGCCCTGAGTTCTCACACATAAGATCCTCGAGTCTGGGGCTCCCTCCCATTTGCAGGGCGAGAGGGGAGTTTGAGCTTAGGCAAATCTGAAAAGTCCCCCCTTATTTAGGGCTAATGACAAATTAGATATTGTTATATAGAGATACACTGCTGGTTAAGAGCTCGACTATAGTGCAAATTTAGATTAATCAATTTACTTATGACGCAGGGAAGGAAACCAGAGGACCTGGGAGAAACCCATCTGAGCAGGCGGAGAACATGTGAACACTGCACAGAAAGGTTTACCGGCCTGTTAAAGACCTGAACCAGTGACGTTCTTGCTGTGAGGCAACAGTGCTAACCACTGGGCCACCATGCCGCCCTATAAAGGAAAAGGAGGAGGAGTAGGGGTGGAAGGGGGGGATTCTTCAAGATCAAGATAACTGTAGTAAGAAACTCTGGTTATAGTTATGGTGAGTTAAGAATCTTCTCAGAGGTAAATAATGCATTAGCTAATGCAGGACCCGCTGTGATCAATCATAAGCACATGCTCCTCTCAAAACTAGTTTATAAATAATACTAATGTACTACTAGACAACAGCATGGGGAAATATATTATAATATTACAAATAATGTATGAAAAAACATACAATAATGCTCATAAAGGATGCACTAATTTAATAAATGTGCAGTAAACTACACTGTAAATAATCATGACAAAAAGTCATGACAATAAATGTTTTTGTTACTTTAACTTATTTTTGAATCAGGTTTAAACTAAATTTAATACATAATTTAATAGTAAAACTGACTTAATATTTTTAGTCAGTTTGACTAGATGTAAGTTTAGATGACTCTAAATATTCATTTGATTCAACTGAAGAATTTAGGCAGTTACAATTTTTTTTACAGTGTAGTACAATTATTTATTATACAAGTTTAAAATAACTTCATATAGTTGTTTTTTATATATATATTAATTTTTTTTTTTAAAAGTCATTTATTTAATGTATATCACAGCAACTCAAAACAATGTGTGGCTAATTTGTACAACCTCATTCATATATTTTAGCACAATGAGGTTCATCCCCAAAAGATGGTTGCATTTAGGGGCACAACTCCTTTTAAATATCATGTTTACCATACACAAATTATAGGAATTTGCACAAATTATCACTGAAATAGTTCAATTTCCTTGTGAGATCAGGCTGAATGTATTAATTTAACTCAAAGGTGGATTTTTTGCTTATTTCTCCAGCTTGTAATGTAACACTATCCCTCAGAAATCATTAAAATATGCCGTGTTGCTTTTCAAATAATTTGTTATTATTATAAATGTTAAAAACTGTGAAAAATATGAGAATTATGATAATTTTTTCAGTATTTAAAGCAAAGGCAAACTTATTACAATAAATATATTAAAATATAAAATTATATAAAACACTGCAATAAATATATTTTCCAAAGTTTAAAATTAAACAAAAAAAACATAATAATAATATTAATAATATTAATAATAATAATAATAATAATAATAATAATAATAATAATAATAATAATAATAATAATAAAATCATACTTGTAACCGCACAACAACAGAGTTTAAAATTAATTAACTTGAAAGGTTCTATATCTGATTTATTTAACATTGCTGTCTTTTAACCAAGGTTTCTGCAGGTTTAACCAAGTTAAATTTAATACTTTTTAAGACATTTTAAGACCATTACGAATGAAACTTAAGGAGTTAATTTCAAATATCCTAGTTAGAAAAGATTTTCAGTTGCCCTATCAAAAAATATAAAAAATGAATACATGTATTATTAAAACAATAATAATAATTTTGTTTGAATATTGTTAAATTAATTTTCAAATATACCCATTCACAAACCCTATAACCCTTATCAAGAATAGAACAAAACATAGCTGTCAATTACTTTACTCTACAATATTAATAAAAAATAAATTAAATAAATGTCAGGTCAGTATCCTCGGCAGTAAACTAGAAGTTTTAAGCAAATGTTACTGTAATTGAAGTAATTAAATGCTATTTTTAAATAAAAAGTTCAGTTTTATTCAGATGGATTGTTTGTTAATTATATGGGTGTTAATGGATTGGGTAGTATACATAAACAAAGAAATATTAAGACCTGTAACAATTATTTAAGACCTACAACAAAAGTATTTCAGTAGATTTAAGACTAAATTTTAAGACTTTTTAAGACCCGTCGAACTTTTAACTGTTATAACATGACTTTCATGTTTCCCATACAACAATAACATAAAATTTATGATATTTCAAAAATACATATTACATAACCAGATAGATACTATTCTGCAATGATTGACCAGTATATGATCTCATATAGTCATATTTTAAATATTACAGAAAAACATCAGCTTTTTTAGAACCTGATCTCCATCAGCCCCCTGTACTCCCAAATCAAGGTCATCTAAAAAGCATACAGACTCCCCTCAACCCAAACCAGCCGTCCTGGGCTCAATTTGTTCCCTTTAAATTTAAACAACTCGGCCAACATCAGGGTGGTAAATTGAAATAGAGAGTGACAGCTGTCATAATAAGCCTGTCTGTGTGTGCTTGAGTCCTCGTCCCCGTATATGCCACTACAGTCTGCCTCTGCTTTTCTTACTACTGGGTGTCCTTCAAAACAACCACATTCTTAATAATAAACTGGAACATCAATGACTTGCATTTCTTGCTGTCCTTGACGTGGCAGATGCTGTTTTGTGTCATTATTAAACTTTTTTTTTTTTTTAATTGAAGAGCTGCTGTTCCACAGTACAAAATGTTAAACGCTAATTGTAAAAAAATGTAAAAGTGGTATAATTATATGGACACAAATTTCAGTGACATAATTTTGAATACACAAGAAGACACGATACTGATGACAAAAATTGCTATTGGTGCATTTCAATAGCCAAAAAACTACTTTAAGATTCAAGATCTCTCTCAAAGTTGTTTTTTGGCTATTGATCTTCTTTAGAAAAGATGTATATTCTGATAGCAATTAAATTACCACAAAACAATCAGGGTGGACAAAATTTTTCATACTTTACTGGAGCATCAAAGACTTGCATTTCTCGCTTACCTTGACATGGCAGATTTCATTATTAAACAATTTTTTTTAAGCTGCTGTTTCACAGGACAAAATGTTCATTGTCTGTCAATAATGCTTCTAAAAGGAAGTAGCTTGTGTCTAATATCTGTGTTAATTATTAACGAGTCTAATCTGCAAAGAATAGAAGAAAAAAAACTGCTATAAAATTTGATGTTTTTAGATCGTTTTATTGATCTAAGTTTCCTTCTTTTTTATTCCTTCCCCATACATTTTAATATAAAACTAAATCTATTATAGTACCTGTTTTTGCCCTTTAAATACAGTAATATCCAATTTATAAATAAATAAATACATATATGTAAATATATATATACATAATTATTTTAACCTTCTAATTACCAGCCTGTAAGGAAAGTTAATTATTAATTTTTACAAAATATTATAATGTTTTATGATGAGATACAGATATAAAAATCTGAGATAATAAAAATACAAATTTAAAATTTAAAAAATTATAATAAATAAAATAATAATAATAAAACAAAATACAAATAGAAAAATAAATAAATAAAAATATTATATTTGTAAAAAATTATATATTTATTTTAAATATAATAAATAAAAACAAAATATATTTGATGCCCATTTTATTTTTGCATTCTAATGAAAACATCTATTTTTAAGAATACTTTTGTATTTAATAAAAACCGTTTTGCACAATATTTCACAACTGCACGTGTGCGCCATTACCTCTGCAGGACCTTTGGTAAATTTTTAACATGGAGTGTTTTATGATCTATTTTATTTGCTGTACACATACATTTAAAATGATGTCAATAGTTTATATTTCAGCAGATGATGCTATTAACCCCCTTTATTCCATTCTATTCCTTCCATTTCTATTATTTCAAAACATTAGAATTTGATTCAATAAAAACTCCTAAGCAATAAAATATCAATCAGTAATTAAATAACAATTAAAGTAATTAAAGTAACTAGAAATAGCCAATTAGTATTACCAATTGTTCTTTTTTTAGAACCAAATGTCTTTTTGTTGCTTAATATTTGATACATGCTTGTTTGTGTCACTGCATGAGTGAGTAATGCCATGATATTTATGGTATTAATCATCACTTACCTTCTCTGATCGTCCCTGGTTCCCCAGTGGCCAGTACAACGATTAATGCGACAGCGACCACCAGCGCCAAAGCAAACAGCACCATCAGGGTCACCTCCAACCCTGAGAACCGCCGCTTGCCCATCTGATCAAAACACACACACACACACACACACACTAAGTAAACAACCATAAGCTTGCTATAATTCATCTTCCCGCACCTCTTACACAACACATGTGTCAACAACACAGACTTATTGAGAAAAGCACCCCCTATACTTTTTTGGAGAGCACGAATTATGAAGCCAGAGCTGCATCTTGCTGCATTTTGTTTTTAAAACGAATGCTACAGGGCGGTATGTCATTGCTGACAGCTTCTGTTTCTTATTGCGCTACCAGCTGACCGCTTAACCTACATGTGGATGGCTTTACTAATGCTACCAGTTTGCCCAGTGGCTCACCGCATACGTCGGTGGACTTGAGACACAGACAGGAGTTGACTGCCATGACAGGCTTCAAGTCCGGCAAAGAATGTTTCCAGAAAGAAGGTCAGACAAAACAAAAGCCAAAAAATAAAATAAACAAGTAAATAACAGGGTGGGAATGTGGTAAAATCTGAAAATGTGGTAAAAAATTAGGTGGCCGTGAGGGCTTTTTCCTGTCTGGATCGCTTCTGAAAACGCTACCTGTTAAGTTTAGGGAAATGGGTGGGTTATGTTAATCTGTGTTTTTGAAAACACTATTGGTTGGGTTTAGGGAAGGTGGTGGGTGGAGGTGTCAGTCAGTCTGTTAGTCAGTCGACAGGGGAATTACGCGAGAACAGCAGGCGTGAATGGCACTCCTGAAAGAAATCTGAGATCTGAAAAAGCGTACACAGCGGCCTCTGGTGGACTAGCGAAAATAAAATCTGCAAAAAAAACTTACCTCCTGGGAAATATTTTGTGCTCTCCAGAAATGTATACAGGAGTACATATAAATAATGACCCCTCTGTATTAACAGCCTCCTGTTATGTATGTATGTGTGTGTGTGTGTGTATATATATATACATATATATATATAAATATATATATATATATATATATATATATATATATATATTTTTTAAACCCAATTTCTGTTTAATGTAAAGCAGACTTTAACACCTTTCTAAACATAATATTTTTAATAACTCATTTCTAATAACTAATTTATTTTATCTTTGCCATGATGACAGTAAATAATATTTAACTAGATATAGATACAAGTATTCAGCTTAAAGGGACATTTAAAGGCCTAACTAGGTTAATTAGGCAAGTTAGAGTAAGTAGGCAACTCATTGTATAACAGTGGTTTGTTCTGTAGACAACTGAAAAAGAAATAGCTTAAAGGCGCTAATAACATTGACCGTAAATGCTTAAAAAAATATAAAGTACTTTTAATCTAGCAGAAATAAAACAAATAAGACTTTCTCTAGAAGAAACATGTTATAGGAAATAATGTGGAAAACATTTCTTGCTCCGTTGAACAGAAATTGGGAAATATTTGAAAAAACTAAACATAAATTTTGACTTCGCCTGTATATTTTGGCATTTTTTGTTCATTATCAAGAGTTTTAGTTGTTCCCTATACTGCATTTGCCTTCAAGATAGAGTTAAAAGAATTGAACATCCAGCAATATCAACAGCAACTACTGTAAAAAGTCAGAAACACTGCTCATCATTTCTTTGAATTCTGTATTTCATCATTATTATTTTACTTTGTTTCTTCATTTAAAAAAAAAAAAAAAAAAAGAGGAACTTTATTCTGCATTAGTAACAGCTGCCAGTTGTTTTTTTAGCAAGAGAATTACAGCCAAATTATTTTTAGTCTTTTCTTGGAATTCATCATGGTATTTTTTCACTTTGAGAGTATTTAAATAATGATGATTCATTTGGACAAATTCACATGACAGAAATAAAAAGCCACATAATTTGTCTTATGGATAAAACGCTCTTGATTTAATTGCAGTCCTTCAAAATGAAATTGATTGTTTTTCATTTGCCACCGCAGCTTGTCGGGTGTAAAAAAAAAAACTTATCAAGATTAAATGTTTGCATGCATTCCTGTATGCTAAACAACTAAATATATTGTACAGTATGTATATATATATTCATTCATTCATTCATTCATTTTCTTTTTAGCTTAGTCCCTTTATCAATCTGGGGTCGCCACAGTGGAATGAACTACCAACTTATCTAAACTTAACTAAACTTAAGATATAATGAATTAAAACTAATAAAAATATTTATTCTGCTCAAGAGGAAAAAAAAGACATTCTATCAAAGGCAAAATATTTTATTGACCATGAAATAATTTAATTACCCTTGTTCCAGCTCAAATATTTATTTTATTTTGGGAAAGAAAGAAAAAAAATAAATTAAAAATATTAAATAAATAAATATTTTTACTATTATAAAAAGAAAGTAAAGTTGTACTGGACTAAACTAAATACATAATGAATTTAAAATTAATTAAAAAATGTATTCTGCTCAAGGGGAAAAAACACATTCACTCAAGGGTAAAATATTTTATAGACCATGAATTATTTAATTACTTTGTTTCAGCTTAAATGTTTATTTTGGAAAAGAAAGAACAAACAAACAAACAAACAAATAAACAAGCAAATAAACAAACAAACAAACAAACAAATAAATAAATAAATAAATAAATAAATAAATAAATAAACAAATAAATAAATAAATAGATAAATAAATAAATAAATATTTTTACTACTATAAAATCAAAGCAAAGTTGTACTTTTGACTAAACTAAATACATAATTAATTTAAAATTATTAAAAAATTTTATTCTGTTTGAGAGGAGAAAAAAGACATTTACTTTTTTAAGGTGAAATATATATATATTTTTATAGACCATGGATTAATTTAATAACTTAAGCCTTTAATCAGCTTAAGCCTTTAACTACCCCATCAAGAAAGAAATATTTAGATTGCATTTCTTAATTCCTAATGTTGGTAGTTAACACACAATGCATTTTTTTTCAACACATCATTTCTAAAATATCAGCCTCTGCCAAATGGTTTATATGTCGGTTTATGGTAAAGTACCGGCAATAAATCAATATACTATGAAAAATCTGAAATTATTAAGTGTAAGATCAGTTTACTTGAACATATAATCAAAATAAAAAATTTGAATACTATATCCCCTTTTTAAAGTATACCATACAATAGTTCAGATTCTCATTTAACACGTTTTCTTGGTTTTTTTATTATTTATTTATTTTTTTTACAATAAAACCAAAATCAAGTGTAGTAGTGCAACAGGATTTTTGCTTGATTTTTTTTTATAACCAACAATACCATGTGTAAGCCATTATTTAAAAAGGTCGTTCTTTAAATGACTTTAACAGTCATTATTTAAAACAGTAAAAACATGGTCAACCATTTGGTAGAGGAGCAGATGGTTAATGTTTATTTTGAGAAAGAGTAAATAAGCAAATATGTTTTACTACTATAAACTCAAAGTAAAGTTGCACTTTAGACTAAACTAATACATGTAAAGTAGTTTTACTTGTCCAGTGCATGTCAGAATAACAAAAATCACCTTTAATTAATTTATTTAATATATATATACACATTAGTCCTACCTTCACTGTTGTTTTATGCAAGCTCACAGTTGTTAATTCCTTCCCTTTTCAGTTGTGTGTGCAGATGAAGGAAGCACACTGAG